TCAGTGTGTGATAGTGATGTGTAAAGTGTAGGCACGAATTATTTAAGAAATCAATGAATCCGATTACCAATCCAAACCCCGACTAGTCACAATCGATCACGTGACAATACTAACACGAGAGCAAATAAAAACGTGAACAGCACCACCGTCTGGGATGTGGCTCCGTGCAGTCTTATAGAAGTTCATCGACTTGTGGAACCTACTGCCTCCGTCATCGGGGTGGAAGAGTAAGCAAGCCAACCAAGAACATCCTGCTGATTCCTTGCCTGGCTTACTCGTGGATCCTGAAGATGGAGGCAGTACATTCCTCCGAAGCGTCGGTGAATTTATACGGGCCTACACGACATCACACGACTCTTCACAGTCACCGCTACAATCTGATAGTGTCACATGGACTCCGTGTTACTCAGTTTCTGCATTTGTTGAGAGATCACAGCGTTTCGAAAACCTCATCTGCCTGCATCTTCAGGAGAAAAGCTGGCACGTACACATTTAGGCCTGTTAGAATCAGTTTGAGCCACTGATAACATGTCTGGATAGCGTGGCGGCGACGCGAAACGTGGCTTCAAAATTGCGTTTGATAGCCAAGCCTTCAGCAAGACACGAGACCCACCCCGAAATACAAACGGCTTAGTCCTTGTCATTGAGCTCTGCTTATAGTCAACAAAATTAAGTGACGTCACTGTAATATATATATATATAGCAAATCCTCGCTAATCCGGAGTAATTGGGTGGGGGAAGAGGTCATCCGGATTAATGAAGCAAAATATAGCCCTAAAGACAAAAAACCCTTAGAACCAAAAAAATGGAAAATGCAATAAGACAGGCAGTCCTGATGAAAATAAATAACAAAATATCAGTGCAGCGGTTTCTTCCTCTGTTAGAAGTACAATCCAGGGTCTCCTTCATCCAGCTGAAGCCAATCTTGGACATTTCCTTGCGTGGCTTCAGTCTCTGCAGCCGCCCCCAAGAGAGCCTGAAAGTCCTCTTGCTCCTAAATCCCACGTGTCTGTCGTCGTCCGGAGCGGCCCTGGGGAGCACGCAGCCTCCTATCCAGTGGGTACAGGGGGCTCTTTCCCTGGGGTAAAGCGGTAGGGGCGTGAAGCTAACCACTCACCTCAAACTAGTGACGAGGTCAAGAAAACGTGGATCAATACATCCATTCCCCCATACGTCTTAAGGACAGTGCTGAATTGGTTAAGTACAGGGACAACTTTACCTTTTTACCTTTCACTCGACTGTGAACAGAAGTTTCCATATTTCGATCCCGATTGCCCGACAGAAGGATTAACTGTAAGCGGATTAGCGAGGGCTTACTGTACGTCGCCTGACAGGGCTAGTTTCTCTGTTGCCCCAGAACTAACTACTTCGGCAGCGAACTGTGTTTAATGTATTTACTATCCACTTCCTGTTCTGTTGTGGTTTTACTTCTTTATATGCATCTCCACAGTGTTTATTGTAAGTGTCCCCATTATGTGCCGTAGGCCAACCCGAGTCACACTACCCATTGGATGAGGCTGGCTCCAACAGAGGAGGTGCCCTCCAGCCTTTCGCCTTAAGACGGAATAAGATTCAGTTTCCGAAATGTTGTGTTCTCCAGAATACCGGACGATGCACAAAGTAGAAACAGTTACCTCCAATGAAGGCCGCGCCATAGCTCAAGCTGTTAGTCGCTGGCTTCCCGATCCCGGGGTCTGGTCAAATGGGATTTGTGGTGGACAAAGTGGCGCTGGGCAGGTTTTCTCCGAGTACTTCGGTTTCCCCTGCCACTCTTCATTCCACCAATTGCTCCACAATCACCCTCACTTATCATCTGGGGCTGGTACAATAGGCCAGAAGTGGCCGCAGTACAAGGGACTTAGTCCCACCCCACTAGCAATAAAAAAAATACCCCCAACGAACTGGGAGTCTAGGCAGCAACAACTAAATTATTTCCCACCTCATTCGGAATTATTCTTTCACATGTCATAAAAATATGAAAGTCTACAAGACTTCCCAGGCTAACTTGCGTGTTCAGAATCCTCGAATCTTATCGAGGAATTGCCACAGATTCGCATGGAGCACAATGAGGGGCAACACTGCAACAACAAAAGGAACCACCAAACATTCCCTCGCACGCTTTTGTTCTGACGTCATTGTCTTAGGAAAGGCCTGCCGTCAACTGTCACTTGTTCCCAACATGTGGCAAACAGTCCCACAGTTCGATGCTCTCTTGTTGGTTGGGAAAGGCCCCCTGGAATATGGATTGCCGTGACTTCAGAAGAATGGAATTAGGCGGGCCAACACGAGATGTGTAGGGTGAAGTGGGTATACCGAGGGGACAGCTTTTGGCAATGCTAGCTCATTAACCCATGCAGAAGAGTCTTTCTTCATAATCTGACAGTCGTTCACCCGGTCAGTACACTACAGCCTCACATAGGAACGTAACAGTAAAGTTGCCGCTGAGCGCAATGAAGCATCACGCCATGAAAGTGTATGGGGGGCGAAGGTGTAGCTGCAAGCATTCTTGATCTCAGCACTAGATAGAGATGAGTGGTTAGCTTCATGCCCCTGCCGCTTTACTCCCGTGCCAACTGGGTGGAGAAAAGAAAAATTCTTGACTTTGCCGAGAATCGAACCATGATTCCTCGGTCGTTCAGCCCGTAGCTTCCTCTGTATATCGGCTGAGCTATCCCGGCTCGGAGCCAACACACATTGTTTTTTTATGATTCATTTTAATATTATCCCATCTGTCCCTCACCCTTCAGGTGTATGGGACAGGCCTCCGGTCCGACGAGGTGTGGACCCGTTGCCATAGCAGCAAACTTTTCTCACTCTTCCAGATGCGGCACTGTTGCGGGACTGCGGTCACCATGACAACACTCAGCCAGTTTCGCTGTAGGAACAACTGAGCCCAGCTGGGCTCTAGGGAGAAAAGGTTATCTTGTATAGTTTCAGTACGGCTTTGAAGCCAAGAAACCCCACTGTCTATGAAGATTACCGTATTTTAGGACGTGACTCCGTATAGTCTAGCGGAAAGCTAAAGATTTCTGGAAAACCTGATGCCTCCAGGATACACCAGACTGCACGGCGCCACATTACATTCACGGGCCGTGAGAAACTCGAATGTGACGTTAGTGCGACCTGCACGCCCGTGCGCAGTCTACCAAACATAACGGTCCTCACACTTACAACAAAATGGTGTGTTTTCATAATTTGAGGGCTTCACGGCTGTGGCCAATAAGTGGGTACAGTAAACTCTCGCTCATCCGGTTACAGTTAACCCGGTTCGAAGTATAAAAAAATAGAAAAAATGCTGTTCAGAGCTGGGCACATGCTTTGAAAGTCACATGGCATTTAGGAAGGCAGACGAGTCACTTGTCTGTTCAGACAAAACTTGACGGTTTCTGCAAACCTGCATCATTACGTTCAGAAACAAGTACAGCTTCTGGGCCTTCTAGCGGTGAACAAGTGTATTGTCTTCTTGTAGTTCTTAAATAAGGGCTCTACAGTGATATTTTGTTATTTATTTTCATCAGCACTGCTCATATCATTACATTCTCCCTTTATTTGTGTTCTAAGTTTTTTCTTTTTTCTGTCTTTTAGGGCTACCTTTTGCTTCACTAATCCGGATGCCCCCCCCCATTACTTCGGATTATCAAGGGTTTACTGTAGCAACGTTTCGGAGGAACATACTATGACCATCTTCAGGGTAGACGCTACTGATATAATTACTAACGTAATTATTAATTTGATATTTGCCAAATAACAGGTGTGCGCTTGTTTCTTCACTTCATAAACTGAACGCACAATGGAGATGCCTTACGCTACGATTTCCCTCCTGAGTGCGCGGTGCAGGGTCAGCCGGAATGCAGCAGCACAGGCATAAGCCTCCTCTATTCACCTGTAAGCTGCCACAGGGTTTAACAAAATATCCTACCCCACTGGAATGCAGAATAACACATGGACTCAAATACTCGCACTTTAACTGGACGACTGAAGAATCGAGGTTCGATTTCCAGCTGAGGCAAGAGATTTTCTGTTCTAAACACAGGGGCAAGTTTGTCTTTGTGTACGGCGGTGCAAAAGAGGCCTTGGCCTATTGTTCTCTTGTAGGAACGCACAGTTTCGTCCGTCCGTCCGTCCGTCCTCGGCAGATTCCGACGGCTCCACAGGAGCGGGCAGTGCTGCTCAGAGCATGTAGCACGCACAGGAGGGATTAGAAAAGCATACACAATTTTGAGCTTCATTGGCTTGCACTTCGACCCTGAGGATGGAGGTACTATCATCCTCCGAAATGTCGGGCTTTCTCCAAGCTACGTGCCGTGGCAACCCAGAAGACACTCAGAGCAGTTAGAAGGTAGCACTGCTGATTCATGTACGGGTGGTACTGGGTTCAGATCTCAGCCCGCCGATCAGATATCTTTTCGCGGGTTTCCTCAGTTTCTCAGGGGAAGAGACGGGATCGCTTCCTTCCACTGCTGTGTAATACGAGCTTCTGACAGAGCCATGCCGTACGGTAGTTGAGCGACGTTTCGGAGGACTATTACCTCCAGTGAGCAGCCGGTAAGCAGTACGATCGTCCAAAACGCCAGCGGATTTCTACCGGTGTACACGGCGTCACATCCAACAATAAACAAGCTATTTGGAGCAGTGCTGCCTCAAGAGACACAACTCACCGTGAACATAACTTTGGGGCAGCCTGTCGCGTTTTTACCTGACTCAGGCCCTTCGAGAGGAAGCGGCTCCTCGCCAGTTTCTGCACGGAGCACGAACTGGACAGGCGCGCGGCCGGGGTAAGCTACAGCTGCACTTGTCGGGGGCGGGAGTGAAGGCCTTGCTTGCTGAGTGTTAGGGCTGTGACGAGTGGCTTTCAGAATTTGCTACAACAGTCGCCTGAGCGCGAAATGGGATTTCCTACCGCCATGGAGGCGATCGTCTGTTCCACGCTCCAGCCGCTTTAACTCAGGTGAGTCTACATGAGGACCACAGCGTTGTGACGCTTCCCGTTACCGTTACAGGACGCCGCGCCATGAGGTGGTTCCGGAAACCAGCCACTGACTCGCCCCGACTTCTGAGTCTGTCGCCCCTCCGGTGTGGGGTAGACACGACTGACGCCACGGGGGTGTCCACATGCTGCCGGCGTTCCAGCGCCTGCGCAGATCTCTCACCCCATGGGCGCCAACACCGCTCCAGAATAGGTAAGCTCATGTATCGGGTCAGGTAATCTCCCGAATGCGAGACCGTGGGGGTTACGAGCTTGAGCCAGTGTGCTACATGTCCAGCCCATCGTGGCCTCCAAATAGAATGATCTGTATAAATTGAGTTCCTCGTTGCATAATAATTAGTTCTTCATGATATATTTATCGATATACCCTCCCACGTTATCCAGCCTCATCTTTCTTTACACGTACACAGCAAAGCGGTAACTATATATACCACCTGCTCAAACATTAACACATTTCTGTATTTTGCCCACACATCGTATATACGTGTTCCGTACGATTCTCACGGGTTGGTCGCTAGAATTGAGATCAGTGTGTTTTCTGTGAGAGAGGAACCGAATTGTTGTACAGTAAAGCCTCGCTAATCCGGATCGAAATGTGAACAATGAACAATGCTGTTCACACTTGAGTACATACTTTCAAAGACGCATGACATTCAGGAAGGCTGATGACTCACTTTTGTGTTCAGACAAAACTTGACGGTTTGTGCAAACCCGCATCATTGCGTTCAAAACCAAGTACAGCTTCTGGTCTTCTTGCGATGAACAAATGCACTGTCTTTTTGCAGTTTCTAAATAAAGGCTCTGTTACTTATCTAAGTTTGTTCACTGATCCGGGTTATCGCCTAATCCGGGTGACCTCCCCCTCCCCAATTACCCCGGATTAGCGAGGGTTTACTGTGTAGGGTTAAGACAGACTTTTCTTAACAAGGTAATGAACCCCCGGGTTCCATAAAAGATTCGGAACTTCCTGATGACCTAAGCAACTGTTAGCTTTCGGAGAATGGGGAGTCAGCAACAGAGCGGAGCTGCACGGTCACGTGTTTCCGTGCACAAGATGCCGAGCATCAGTTTTCTGCTGAAGCACCGTCTGCAGTCCTGCACAACACGTGGAGCAGCGGCGTCGAGTGGTAGGATCGGGAAGGAAGCGGTACTGTGCTTGTGCTCCCGAAAAGACTCGAACAGAGCACCCCCAGAGCATGTCTACTGCGTGCCCGCTGGGCAGCCCCTCAATGCGGTGTCTGGCATCGGCTGTGGGACCCACCCGGACTCCTGTCCACTGGGTACTGCCTGGACATGGGGACAACGTTCTCTTGAATTCGAAGCTTCCTCACGAGATGAAGTTACCCCTATGTCTAAGCACCACAACTGTACTACCGTCGCCTGTGCTGTCAGCCGTTTGCATGTCAGTCGGGTTGCCATGAACACGTCACTGGCAGATTAGTGTGGCGGTGATAGGTAAAGTTGCTCCTGTGTTTAACTAATTAAGCACTACGCCATGAAGGTGTATGCGGGAGTGGATGTATAGATCCATATTTTCTTGATCTCGGAACTAGCTAGAGGTGAGTGGTCAGCTTCAGGCCCCGGCCGCTTTACACCCGGCGAAAAAGTCCCCGGTACCCATTGGATAGGCGGTTTGGTGGGCCCCACAGCAGCTCTGGACGACATGGAGAAGAGAAAAATTTTGACCGTACCGGGACTCGAACTCCGACCCCTCGATCGTCCAGCCCGTAGCCAGTCGCTATACCGGCTCCCAGTGTGGCGGTTTGCGATCCTAATCTCGGCGAGTTACCGACTGAGCTGAATGAGGTTTTTCGCAGTTTTTCCTCACTCCTCCCAGGCCAATTCTGGGATCGCAGAGGCACCCTGATATCCGCCACGTCTGTCTCCTTCCTGATTCTTTCCAACGGAAGATGCAGCAGTGGTGTGGCTGCAACCGCAGTGTGACGTGCACTGGTCACTCCCGCGAAGCAAGCGATGTCGGTTGCTAGGTAACGGCAGTAACGCCCCATTTCGGGCGATGTGAGTGGTTCGGGCCCCCCCCCCCCGGATAGCTGAGATCTGCAATGCTGGCACAGCTGATTTAAACAACAGAAATGTTACCACCTTCAAACCAATTTTACCTTAATTTCTGCCAGTTTTAAAGGCGGAAGGAACGTCAAACGAACCACTCATTTCTATCCAGTACGGAAATACATCATTGAAACAGATCGCCCGATGGTGTCACGGGTTTGAAACCCAGTTTGCGATGGCGCTGGCTGTTAGTGCTCATGAATGAAACAAGAAATGATACGCAATTTTGAAAGTGGGAGCTTGGATGAACGATACATCGAGATATTTAAATCGACCGAGACTGGCCCAGGCTCTGAGCGGTCACCTGCCGGAGAGTTGGTTACTACGAGATTGGTTTACACTTTACATGAAGGCTATGCCGATCATTGGGATCGTGGGTTCGAATCATACTTGTGGCGTGGATGTATGTGTGTTTTTTCTGTGTTCGTGTCGTCCTGCGTAGGTAGCGACCTTGCGACGAGCTGATCCCCCGTTCAAGGGGTCCTACCAACTATTCGTAATATTCATAGCTCCAGAATAATTCTGAAGGGGAACACGCCAGGGGGCCTAATCTGTCAAAGGAAGAAGACAACGGTTGAAAATACAAGATTTTAACCCCTCCTGTCCGGGAGCTCCAGTACGGAACATCTGCCTCGATTCTGACGCACTTGGTATTTATCTACAATGGTAAGAATTACCACGCCTTTCCTGGTGTCGGTTCGTTTCCAAGGAAACGTGACTCACGCTACGCGATGTTCATTTGAATGAGTCGCAAGCAGCGCTCGGTCTGATGGACATCCTTCCTGCGGTCGTGACGCAATGACGACCTGAGGTTATAAGCAACGATGTGGCTGCGCCCTTCAGTTGCAAGAGAAAGCCACTGCAGTTTGGTTCCTAACTTCGCTGTCATGTTGCTGTGAGGGTATCGGCCATTTGCGTATCACACAGATGTTTTGCTGGCCTGGTGATGAAGGCAATGCAGTTCTTACGACGTGAGTATTGACACCATTTTGGCAGCAGCACATGCTGACATGTCTGCACGATGAGACACACGGCTTGTCCAAGTGCTGTATCAGTATTTGTGAAAACAATTAAAAGAAACGGAACGAAACGTCAGAATTATGACGATGTAAGAACCTCGTTCACCTCAGAGGTGCGCCCTCGCATCCACTTCCGGTCACCAGCCGTGGACCTCGCTTGGGTTTCTTCCGGGGGAGAGCCACAAATTTACTGCGGACTTAGGTGTAAGACAGGTTGGATTTGGGATTTGACTATGCAGAGTACTGTCTCGTGGGCTGTGACACAGTGTAGTCTGATGAAACGTCACCGACGTTTCGGAGGAGCGCAGTGCCAAGGCAGGAGGTGGCTGCTTGTTTGGCTTACTGTTCTAAGCTGAACATGGAGGTAGTATGTAGGATATGCGGTCGTCACAGCGGTGGCTATGAACAGTACCGCCTTTTGGGTTATAACACCGTGTGGTTCGTTGAAAGTGAGCCGACGTTTCGGAGGAACATCGCCCCCATATTCAGGGTCGGATAAGGCGGCTTGCCACCTGCTTTCATGCGGGTATCTTGCTCGGCTTATTCTACCCTGAAGATGTATTCCTCCGAAACGTCGGTCGACTCGAGCTGCACGGTATTATATCCCAGAAGATGATACTCTTCATGGAGGTGTTATGTTACTCGGAAACGTTTGTGAACGTCTACAAAACTAGACGGCGTTACAACTTACATGCTGGTACTCTTATGTTTAAGCCGTTTAAGACCGTTTACTGATCGCCCTGAGTATTCAGGGTAGGATAGACGATGCAGGGGTCACATCAACACCGCGACAGGAAGTGTACATCGGGCCCAGCGCTAGTGTAGTGGTGCACGGCATTCGTAACAAAAATTTCAGTCTTTTTCAGGACCAGAATCAGTTTTAGTGAAAATTTCCAAGAGGTCTTCCGTACACTGAAGTCCTGTAGTCCTGTGTTCGTGCAGCCAACTGTAACCCCCTTCGCTTCACTAACTGCACGGGGCAGAACCTCTCAAAAGCTGATGGTCACTCAGCTCGCCAAGAAATTCCGAGCTTTTTATGTAACCCGAACATTCATTACAGTGTTCATAACAGCCCCCTCCCCACAGGAACGTATCCTGAGCCAGATGAATCCAGTCCACACCTTATTTCCTTAACCTACGTTTTAACAGTATTCCCATATCGGCGCCTCTAACCATTCCAGATCGTTTCTCCTCCTAAGTATGCTGCTACATGCCCCGCCCATCTTGCCCTTGTAGCCCGACGGGCACAAGTTTGTTTACCGCTCAAACAGTGGAGTGGGGCAACCCGGAAGCGACGTAGCCACATCCTCCCTCCACCCTCCCGCTACACGCAACCGAGACTAATCCGTCGAACCGTTGCTTACAGATCTGTCACCAGTGCGATGGCAGCGCCGAAAGAGCATCAGTGGCCAGGAGTGCGAGCAACCCGGCCGCCAGGTGCGCGCATCCCGCGAGAAGAGAAACCCGCTGCTGGACCGGGTGAAGAACACGCGCCTCTCGTGCTTCAAGTCCAGCACGAACATACTCACCGTAACAGAGCCGGAGCACCAGGACCTTCTACAACTCGTGAAGCAAGGTCCTCGGTTCAGTGTCTCCGAATCTAACGACAACGTCGTGTACTTTGGCGACGGTGAGATGGACGACCCGTCCAGGCACAAAACATCGACGTCGTGCCTGTCAGCCAAGCTCCGGGCGATGTCGGAGAAGTACCTGCGGTCCTCGACAAACAAGTTCCTGGCGAAGTTGTACCGTAATGCGGGGAGTAGCACCCAGGAGGACGGCGGGCCCCGGAGGGGCAGATCCCAGTCCGGGGCCAAACTGCGCAGTTTCTCGTACGGGGCGCTGCCCGGATTGGAGGAGTTCCAGCGACGGCACAATCCTCTGTACCACGAGGAGGATGAAGACGATGACGTAGCGGCGGAGGACACCGACAGTGGCATCATCATCAGCGACTCGGCCAACTCGTCCATGATGGAGCGGGACCCGGGGCCTCAACGGGCTGCGTCCCTCGACCGACGCGAAGTCTTCCGACGCTACGGGGGCGACCTGGAGCTGACAGACAGACAGCGTCGGCGCCAGAGGCTGTGCGTAGTGTCGCCGCCACCCGTGCCGCCCCACAATGAAGAGGCGGCGCCGTTGAACGTGGGGGGCGGGGGCAGGAGGGAGTTCAAAGTGGTGCGACTGCAACGCAGCGACCCTGCTGAGGAGCTCGGAATCTTCATTGCGAAGACGCAACTGTCCGAGCAGGGCAGCGCGGGGTACCTGGTGGCGCACGTGGTTCCGGGCGGACTGGCACACAGGTAACATCATCCAGCTGCCCAGTTCACGCGTCTCCTTCAGCCAGCCCTTCCTAAAGTAGAAGTCGTGAAGGTTTTTGGGACATGGGATCGCCAAAAATAGGCTGATTTCATTTTTATTCCAGAAGGCTACGTTAAATTACAAATATAAAATTAGTCGTTTAAAGTACAATGGTAACTGTACACACCATTTGCTGAAACATTAACATTTCACCCACAGAATGTATTTACTGCTCCGTATGACTCCGACAACAGCGATTATTTCCCTAACCAGCATTAACCGGTTGGTACCCTTTCGTGCTGACGTGGACCCGACGTTCATGTAAATAATGCTAAACAATTCAGTTCGTACTGCACAGAAAATGCAGAGCGCCTCCGTTACTAAGAACAAGCAGCAAATGCTGGGATGGTTCCCAAGTTCCCAGCTGCTACTGCGTGCCTCATGCAGCCCCCGGATTACCCAGCCCAATTAATGAGAAGATTGAAATTCCATGAACCTTGTTTACAACTGTTCACACAAGGTCATCACGCAGGCTAGTGACCTCTGCTTCAGGCCCTGGACAATTTGTTTGGTTTGTCCAGTCCACCCAGACGTAATGTGTTTTCTGTGCGACTGAGCTGAATATTCAGTTGTTATTTAGATGAACTTGAGGCTACCGGAGGCAAATGGAAAAAAGTACTTTATAGGAATTAAAGGTCATCAGAAATTATTTTTGGGGACTACTAAACCACATATTATTTTCTTATTATTATTATTATTATTTCTGTGAGGTGGGGTGAGACTGAGTCATACTGTACCAGCTCCGGATGATAGACGAGTATGGAGCAGTCGGTGGAATGCAAATTGGCAGGGGAAACCGAAGTACTCGGAGAAAAACTGCCCGAGTGCCACTTTGTCCACCTCCAATCCCACATGACTTGAAGCCGGCGACTAACGGAATGAGCGGGTTGTGCAACTGCTTGTTTGTGTGCGCAGGGAGGGCACCCTGTGTATCGGTGACGAAATTATCAACGTCAACGGCCGGCGCCTGCGCGGACTGACGATGTCTGGGGCGCGAGATGCCCTGGGCAGCGGACCACGGGATGTAGACCTCGTAATAGCCCGACCACAGTGGCAGGAGGTCTCCGCCCCACCTCGACCGAAAAGCATGATGCCAGAGAGTTCAGTGGACTATGAGAACGTGCTGATCCTGCCCGCCACGGCGGACACACCCCCAGAGGAGCATCAGGACTATGAGGAGGTTGTGTTCAAGTGTCCCTCCCCGGCCAGCAAGGTGATCAAGAGGAGACAGCACTTCCAGAAAAACAGCAAAGTGTTTCGGCGTGCAATAGCCAGCTACACTGCAGGCGGCCAGGGCGACGAGCTGACGGACGCGAGAACAGGTGCCTAGAGGGGGCGATCTCTTGCAGACAGGGTGAACCGGGGTGGGGGTGAGGGGGGACGAAAAGCACTCCAGCGCTTCTCAGTTCATAAGACATCACAGATTATCCCGACATCCGTAAGACTTACATCAAAAAGTGTCCATGTTTCTGTACAACTTAATGTTCGGACAAGCAGCGGGTTGGCCTCCAGATTCATAGAAACGAGCGCAGGTGTCCACGTGATGTTGCACTGTCTTCATTAGATTTCAGTAAAATCTCGAGCCCTTGCCAAATCTCCGCAAGTTCTCGTTGCAAAGGAGCCTTCATTAGATCTCAGTAAAATCTCAAGCTCTTGCCAAATCTCCGCAAGTTCTCGTTGCAAAGGAGCCTTCATTAGATCTCAGTAAAATCTCAAGCTCTTGCCAAATCTCCGCAAGTTCTCGTTGCAAAGGAGCCTTCATTAGATTCAGTAAAATCTCGAGCTCTTTCCAAATCTCCTCAAATTCTCGTTGCAAAGGGGCCTTCATTAGATTTCAGTAAAGTCTCAAGCTCTTGCCAAATCTCTGCAAGTTCTCGTTGCAAAGGAGCCTTCATTAGATTCAGTAAAATCTCGAGCTCTCTCCAAATCTCCGCAAGTTCTCGTTGCAGAGGAGCCTTCATTAGATCTCACTAAAATCTCGAGCTCTTGCCGAATCTCCGCAAGTTCTAGCTGCAAAGGAGCCTTCATTAGATTCGGTAAAATCTCGAGCTCTTTCCAAATCTCTGCAAGTTCTCGTTGCAAAGGAGCCTTCATTAGATTCAGTAAAATCTTGAGCTCTTGCCAAATCTCCACAAGTTCTCGTTGCAAAGGAGCCTTCATTAGATCGCACTAAAATCTCGAGCTCTTGCCGAATCTCCGCAAGTTCTAGCTGCAAACAAGCCCAGAACTGTGTCAGGGGAGAGTTCACTTGTACTTCCAGCAAAGGTAGGCTGACATGAGTTCACCTGTCTCGGATGCTCTGTTGCAGACATTGGGGGCACCGAAGACCACACCCTCATGTCTACTTCCAACTTCTGCACGCTGCCCCGCCGCCCACGCTCGTCTGTCTGCTCATTCCACACAGTCATATTTGAGAAGGGTCATGGGAACAAGGGGCTGGGCTTCACCATCGTGGGAGGGCGTGATTCCCCCCGTGGGGCTCTCGGCATCTTTGTGAAAAGTATTCTGCCAGGTGGACAAGCAGCAGAGGACGGTCGCCTCAGAGCTGGTACGTGGAACACTGAGGCACACCTTCTATAAACATATGTCAGTTGGAGGGTAATACTAAAATGTATGCTATCTTATGCAGGAGATGAATTGTTGGCTGTGAACGGTGAGGTGTGCCATGACCTGACGCATTCAGAGGCAGTGGCACTCTTCAAGAAAATCAAGTCTGGTCCTGTTGCACTCCATGTCTGTCGTAGGATTCGAACCAAAGACTCGTGAGTACTTATTACTATGTAGCAATAGGTTGATCACTCTCGACTAAACGCTGTTCAGCAGTCCTTCTCAAGAAGCTAACAGTCACTCAGCAATCCCCCCATCTTTGATGGAACCAACTGTTCACGACCACATTCACAAGAGAGCATGCTTGTAGTGAGCCAGATGCATCTGGTCCATACCCTCCCACACAGTTCCATTAAGGTCTATTTTAGTACTATCTTTCCCTATATTGCGAGAGGTACATCAGTGCAAACAAAATTACGACATGCCAAGAATTCCATCAGTACTTGATTTGTTTCTTTTTGTGAATGCTTGGAAATATTTTCTGTACTCCCACCTTAGCCGTGGTGGCTGACATTTCTGCGGTTCTGTTCAGTCCCTCCGGGCGACTGTTTCCATTTCATTATACACACTCATCTCATTCAGCAGTAAACCATCTGCCACTTATACCTGCAAGCAGAAATGCCTGTTCTTCCCCTAGGACATGGTAGGATAACACCCAGATTAAGAAATTAAAGTTGATTTATGTAATTAAAAAAGGGCTTGGAATGAGGATTAAAACTGCATTCAGCAATGATCCTGTAATAGCTACGAGTACATGTGGTTGTTAACCGCCACATCTTCTGTGTGCACTGATAAGAGTACAGAGTGACTGTCATAATCTTTGGGTGTTCTCTATTTCGTCTAGTTAGAAGCATGTGTATACACACGAAACTGAATGAGGTTCACAAACCACAGATTGAGAGCCACTGTTTCATAATAAATGCATACTGAGAACTCCAGAACGTTTCACCCCTCTTCTATTGCAGATCAACAAAAGCCAGATCCTGCACAGACCTGGTTCAGGGCACAGAGACCGAAGACTGACATGCAAGGGTGGGGCAGTGGCAAGAGCTATGTATCTGCAGCAGCTCACACTTTTGGTCTGTCAAGATTCTTCACTGAAAATGTGGTTACAAATGTACACATGACCACACCGGTGGCAGCACGTGAATGTGCACTTCATTCTGTTGCTACGACTGCCGTGCCAGGTCAATGAGTGTCAAAAATGCAACTGTTCTGCTGGTGCTAGCTCCCTTTTCTGAATCAGTATGCAACCTGCTCTACTGGATGATGTATTTATATTTAATACCAAACTAAATGCATGGTAAATGTTTGTTTTGCGTCTGAGGAGGAATGGCTCTACTCTTGAAGCAGCTGACACAAAATTTGACAAGGCCTGCAGTTCTGACAGGAACATTTTCCCCAACTGCTGTAAGAGCACAAGTATGAAACGTCTCATGCCTGTGCACATGCAAAGACCAAACAACACGTATTTAGTTTTTGTACAATGCAACTATGTAGCAAACTCTGCTACTCAGAAACACTGTTTAAAATTGATGAAATTCAGCAGAACCATTTTCAGAAAACAGCATGTTGATGTAATGTAAAATTCACTATTTTGTGCACTATCAGTTTTTTTTTTTAACTGGACGTGTTTTCACTATCAGATGTGTGGCAGGAAGGGTTCCTAATTAGCTGGGCCCATTTCAAAAAGCCAGCCTAAGTAACTGAAGCTGTCCAGTTTAAAAAATTCTGTGTTGTGAGAAACTGAGGACAGTGAAGGCTGTCCTAAATAGCAGTCATGTTTACTGTAACACACTCAGGTCATGCAACTTCCTGTTCCTACACACTGCAAAATGTAGGTATCAAAATGCCCTGCACTCTGTACAACGCAAGCTCACAGGAACACAACACAAAACTCAAGATCGGTCTCTTCGTAACAACAGTACTGTTCACATGACACACCTGACAAAGTAAAATCACACCATGAAAATGGAGGCAGGTCCCTCAAAAATACTGATACTCATGCACAAAATGACATCTTGTAAGACTGAGCAGGGAGCACATTCAAATCTGTGCCCAGAGATTGGCTGTGGCCTTCTCAGCCCCTAGAAGCAAATACTGGTAAGCAGACCGCAACTGCAGCTTCCACATGCTGAGCCTGAGTTACTGATAGTAATTAAATAAACCAGAAACAGAGAAATGGATGGATTCAGAACCAAACAGAAACAGTTTCAATATGAAAGTTTGCATCTGATGCAGGTAGCAGTCCCAGCTGGCACACCAGAAATTACACTACATTATGGAAGTCCGCTGCTTCACCATCAGACCTACTTCTCTGTCACTCCCCTGTATACAGCTAGTTTCTTAACCACAATAATACTTATCTGAGGCACTATCCCAATGGCAAGACTGAGGAAAACTACAAAAAACCTCAGTTAAGACAGCCCATGTCTGCACAGATTTGAACCAAGAACCTTTGGAATACAGTGCAGGAGTGACAACATGACTGCCATATTTAGTGAGATCCATACTATGCAAGGATGAAGCGTCGTACCTTGCACGGCACGGCGGCAGCAGAAACATGCCTATCACCTGTTGCTCACGCAAGGTGCCATCCCTGTTGTGCGCTCAGCAACATATCTCAGTTACCATGTCCACTGTAAATACATTTTGTTGTACGCAATAAAGAAATTGTTTATACCCACTACAAAACTTGTTCATTTTACATGCCGTTTTGTACAGGTCCGAAATACAGTCTCTTACTCTGAGAGGCATATTCAGGCAAAACAGGAAGTAAAAAAACCTGGAGAAATCTGCAAAGTGAGGGAAGCGCTTAAGTTGGACTGTGAAGTGTAGTCTTCATGTGGTCTGCTAGATGTTTCACAGAAGTGCACTGCCTCCATCTTCAGAGTTGTTGCACAAGGCAAAGGAAGTAGCAAGCAAGGAGAGGCAGTAAGCAAAGTGAATGCTGTGGGGAGTCACACCCTTACCTTGTCTGCAATGCTGGGAACTGGTCATGGAAGGACTGGGGACAGCACGAGCAGGATCAGCGGCAACTCAGCGGACAGTGAGGATACACTGCAGCAGGAATAGGGAAAGTTACATTTCTGTATATACTATGCACAAAATATTTATCTGAGGAAATTCTACGACTTTTGTCCAGAACGTTTACTTTTCAGTTTGGTAACACTAAGACAAGCATGGAAGTACATGGTTGATCAAACGCCTCACAAAACACTTTATAGCAGCAAGAAAATATGAAAGCTATATGGATAATGGTGGTAAGAGACAAAAAGGATGGAAATGATTAGACACAGACAGGAAAGAAGAAAATGTGAAGGACCAGACAACAGCAAACACTGAAGACATGATGATATTTAATTTTGGCATTTATTGACACAAAACTGAGCAAATGTAATGTCTTGTCATTTGCACACAAATACTTAGCGTGTGTACTGATAGCTTCTGGGCCATGACACCACTTGTTCTGATAGGCGGGCTTCTGCTCTGCAGATGGAGAAAACATTGGCACTTACCTACCAGACTATGCGGTGTCATAACCCAAAAGAAAACAATATGAATTTCTCTCATATCTTACATACATAAAAATAATTAATAACTGCACTAAACACAGTGCCCTGAACTCTGGCATTCTCAAGATGCTAAGACAGCAGCCACACTTAACTTTCTCATCCCAAGAAGCAGACCAGTAAATCCAAACTGTACTCTCAAGCACTGCCATGTTAATGTATATGTGTAAGCTGAATAAGCTACAGCCTGGGGCCTCAAAATACTGAGAATAAAACCTCCCCATGAGACAAACACAACATTCTCGAGATTCAGAAGACAGCAACTAGCTGACTCCATCTTGTCACGTTGAAATGATGGAAACAGCCATAACAATCAAAAACAAAACTGGGAGGGTAGTATCGCTCTTTGCGGCATGGCCGTGTGACTGTTGTCGGACAATGTGTCTGTGCAGTCCGCCAGATATGGGCACACTCTTAAAAGGGCCTCATGTCTTATCATGACCTAGGGCCACGCAGTCTCAATCCGGCCCTGCCAGATCTATTTGTTCTTCACACCCATGTCACAACAGTAAACAGTAAAGCTACCCCTTTCAAATTCACTGTGCTCACTAATGATCCTGCCATCTGATGCACTATGCAGCCTGAGCTACTGGCAGCATTGTAACATAAACCATACATAATGAGGGAAACAGAAAATCTCAGTTGCTGTCAGAAGACGTACTCCAGTGATGTCCCGGAGACAGCTACTACACACACACAGGTTAACAGTCTGGTGACACTGAAAGTGTCCATTCTTCACCCCAGGAAACGGCTGCTTTTCCTGTCAATATCACAGCATGCAGTAGCTAAAACTTTAAAAGAAGAAAACCAATGATTACAAAATTAAAGTTCATTCCTATAACTTTAAAATGATAAAAAAGCTTTGGAATGAGGATTCAAATGGCATTCAAAACCTTTACTGCAACATCTGCAGTCCCTCTTGGAAGCTGCGGCTACTGTGCATATTCACATGAGGATGGAGTTAATCTGACAATACCTTGCGGTGCTCTCTGTTCGGTCCGTGGTACAGGACAGGAAACCAGACTGTTGGATTAGATGGAGGTGTGTTCCAAGCTTGCCTCTTGCAGATGAGTTTTCTGCTGGGTGGCTTCATCGACTGAGCCTCAGGAAGAGGGCGTGTTTGCACTCCTTTGAGTCTGCTGGTAGGTACTTGTCATAGAAATCTTGGACGAATTCTTCTACCTTGAAACCGAACTTCTGGTACAGGATGATTGCTGGGTTCGTGGCTGACACATGCAATGTCACATCCTTCCCCATGCAGGTCTGCAATGTGACAGTCCACTGACATCAGCTTACAGCAACGAACAATCATACCAGAGATGCTGAATCTTTGGGATCTGCTATTAGAGAATGCTTGGAGCAGTCTTCCTTGAGAAGCTGACAGTCACTCAGCCAATCAAGAAACTCTCCACTTTTTATGAACCCAAAGGTTCATTACCATGTTCACAGAAGCCCAACCACTGGTCTCTATCCTGAGTGTGATCAATGTAGTCCATACCCTCACACTCTATTTCTTTCAGATCCATTTTAATATTATCTTTCCAACACCCCATGTCTTCTATGCAGTCATGTTTGCTACTAAAATTCTATATGCATTTATGATCTATCCCCTGCCCTTCCATTACTCTCAATTTGATAACGCAAACAATATCTGGTCAGCAGTAGAGATTATAAAGGTTCTCACTCTACAGTTAACATGTCTAAAATGTATGGAGTATTACCTCAATGTCCCTATATGCCTTCAAAACACAATGCTGGGACAGCATTTCAGTCAGTCAGTTGGGAACACATCAGATTAGAAGTGATTTCGTCGGTGAGCAAGTTAGTGACACAGGCAGTTACTTAATGACTCTTGTCAGTGAGTCAGTGGCTCAGTCAGACAGCAGTCACTTGGCAAGCCATGCAGGACCCCATGCACCACAACTTGCCTGTATCAGGTGGTACAGCATGAATGTACCAATGCCAGCTCGCCGCCACTCTGGTCGTGTGAAGAGGAATGAGATATATGCCTCGTTCAGCCCCACGTCAGGCACCATGAATGCAAAACCCACCACAAGTTTCTTGTACAGGACAACGCAGCTGAAGTCCGGATACTGCAGACATTCTGTCACTGCACACACAAAACACCAGTTTCTGTTGGCCTTCACTGGGCTTAATTACAACATAGCACAAGATGTTACTACTGTCAAGCAAATGTAGGTGGTATGGATTAGCCTGACTCGATCGAATAGTGTCTACTCTTCTGCCTGAGAGCGTGCATAATTATATATGAAAATGAATGCACCATTTTAGTTGGTAAACATCACTGCTGAGCGATTATTCCTAAGCCACGCCCCCTGTACTCATTTACTTTTGCAGCTTTCCTTAAATACGGAAACTGACAGCATTCAAGTAGCGGTGCAATCACTGCACACTAGTGGGGGTGGAGTCCACGCGGCACAGCGGCCATCACTGCACACTAGTGGTGGGTGGAGTCCACGCGGCACAGCGGCCATCACTGCACACTAACTATTATGTGACATTATGGAGACAGTTTCTGAATAACTGTAGATGCCATTTCCATTGTCCCTGTCATGTACACAGAGCGTCAGCACAGGGGGCTGATTTACAGTCTGTCTGTCCCTTACAGACATGCTATACAGTGAATCCCACTGTTTGAGGTTTCTTTGGGCAGCAGGGTCTGAATATCAGATCAAGGAACGTCTTAAATGGAGGTCAGTTAACTATGAGATTTCTGAAGTTAAATGTTAAATGAGGGAAATTCTTAAATTGGGGTACATTAAGTGGGTGTTGCACTGTATACTCAACAAGCATGAATGCAACCTAGAAGTCAGTCTACAGGCACAGAAAGTACTCCATGCTACAGGGGGCCATAACATTATGGGCTCAGCAATGTAAGGTTAAATATTTTGAAATACTGAAAAATGTTTGAAACAAAAGTTGTAGGCAGATCTTTATGACACCGAAGTTTTTGTGAGAAACCCAATCTGAGCTTATGTTAAGTAGCAGTCACACTGGATCCACAAGGACTACACCAAAATTCAGCTTACACACACTATATATATATAAAAAGGGTAGAATTCCAGCCAATGCAACTATTTTAATAAATAACACAATCTTTTCTGCCTTACATGTTTCAGCCACTAGTGGCCATATTCAAAATTGGTGAACATTACCAACGGAATACATTAAGTTCTTACTATAACATTGACTTTCAAACCACACTTCTCCAAGATCACCATAAGTGGTTCAGGAGATCATGTCATCAAATGCAGACAGACATACTTACAGTCAATACCAGGGTAGAAAAACTCTTGACAGAGACTGTTAACAGAGGACACGTGCTGTGGACGCACGTAACTGTAGTCTATTGGGTGGCGTGGAGGTGGCTGCCAGTGTGGGACATTTCTGTTTGCCTTTGCTTGGACCTCACTCATCAGCTGGAGCCACAGGGGGGTAGTCTCCATGTCACGGCGGATATACGGCTTCAGGAGCCTGCAACGAGACAGTAAGGAAACTGTTCGGAAACTTTACAAAGAAAATGTATCAAGTTAGGAAATATGTGTAAACAATAAGATTTCTGGAGTGTCTGCTCTTTCGATTAATGACCTAAACAAGCGTGAGACTTGCTGTAAATGAAATATGTTTCACAGTTCTCTAGAACTTTTGTTCCAAATATTTCTTCTCTGATAAATGTTCATTAAGTTATGCTTCAGCTGTATGTCTGTTCCTGTTATCCTGTTCTACTGAAGACAGGAAAGTTTCCACGAACTTCAGTAAACTCAACACTATCAAATTTTAGGTACATCCATTTAGCAGTATTTGAGTTATTATTACACATGGACAGATAAGGTAAAGATAAGAGGTATTTTTTTGTAGCTTCCTGTTGCAAACACACTCACAACTGGCTTCAATGCATGCATAAGATGAAAAATTATGGGAAAGTCACCCAGGAGGCAGCACAGGTCTGCTACACGATATAATCCGCAAAGGGAAAACATTCGCCTAAAGTGAGATTATTTTGAGAAATGGTGGGCAGAAATTCATGACAGTCTTTACATTAATGGACTCTGTTTACTTTGTAAGAGCTTAAATGTGAACATACAGACAGACACACATCACAGTGGTAAAGTATGACTACTGTTATTGATCGCTTTATGCATGCAGCTATCCCTGTACCCATGTTCTCCAGAGGCTCTGGCTTCGAGTCTCTGGTGATGATAGCTTCCCTTTGATTGTAGGAGAAGGGAAAGACATGGTACTCTAGTCTCAAATTCAATTGGTACCACTGGTTGTTATCCTAGGGTTAAAATGGCTGGAGCATGAAGCCGACCATTCACCTGTCTCCTAAAGCTGAGGCTTGAAAAGCATGGCTCTACACCTACAAATGTGATGATTAATTAAGCAAGTGGACAAGTTTATCTTCTAACTTAATGGCAAAACAAATCACTGACCTGCGAGTGTAAGGGCTGCAGAAACAGAACGGCTCACTCTGCCCCATCAATCGTAAGATGAATGAACGGCTGCCTGAACTGGCCTCCTCTTCACGTTCAGAAACAGCTGCATGCTGCAAAACATGGCAGACTTACATCTACTGCATTCACAGTAGTTCAGTAGTTCAGGGTAGGCTATCCCCTGCTGCGGGTCTATAGGTCTGAGTGAAACTGCAGCCAACAAAGTAAATGGCTGCACATTTACTTGTCACAGATGTGGTACATTAGCTGCAGAAATACTTGCTGGCGATGTACAGGGTGCAAATCTAGTGGCACACTCAAAAACTTCCCTACATTTATGGGACCTGAAGCTTCATTACCGTGTTCACAAGAGATAGTGATTGGTCCTTGATCTAGATGAATCCAGTCCACACCCCTCACACCATATTTCTTTAAGATCCATCTTAATAGTATCCTCCTGTCTGTGCCAGAACTTCATATGTTTTGGATTTTCCAACCAAAAGTTCCCATGCATGCTACATACCCTGCCCATTTCATATACACATCTGTAACAATGTTGAGATGTTCAGTGTGTCACCTGGAATCTGTCTAGGATCCGAACATCTGCCACGTGACGCGCTGGCTGTGCTACCTCCCTGGCCCGTCGTCCAGGCTGGATGTCATCCAGATTGAAGAGCGGCATTCCCCGCTCACGCTTCAGCCGTCGCACACATAACTTGCGGTACAGGCGTCGTACAGCCCCAGGTACATCCCCCATGGATGGCACTCTACGAAGCTGGTTCAGCAGCTGCAGCTCTTCGTACTCACTCATTGGCAGGCATCTGCACATCGCATACATCTGATGATTATGGTCATACAATTTGGTAGATAGGTGCCAGTGTTGCATCCATCTTCAGGGTAGATACTCTGAAATGGGGGGGGGGACATGTTCCTCCAAAACACTGAGAACCACCTACCAGACTGCATGGTGTCACACTCCAGACAACCACGATATTCACCCACCATTCTGAGCACTCAAATTTCAAATCCCATTGCAAACAGCAGCTGACTGTCCCACGTACAGTGCTACTTCACTAGCCACCATCACAGTGCAACAAGTATCTTACCTCTTACAGGTTCACCTCTATCTATACAGGTATGGGCCACACCACCACCTGAACTCACAGGCAGCAGCTGACTGTCCCACGTACAGTGCTACTTCACTAGCCACCATCACAGTGCAACAAGTATCTTACCTCTTACAGGTTCACCTCTATCTATACAGGTATGGGCCACACCACCACCTGAACTCACAGGCAGCAGCTGACTGTCCCACGTACAGTGCTACTTCACTAGCCACCATCACAGTGCAACAAGTATCTTACCTCTTACAGGTTCACCTCTGTCTATACAGGTATGGGCCACACCACCACCTGAACTCACAGGCAGTAGTTGACAGTTCTCTTAGCAACTGAAACTGATACTGGTGTAACATCAACAGGAAGTCTTGCCTTTGTTACAGAAGCTTCAGTCTGGTTGCCTTCGCCCACTTTCCCCCCCTACATATTATCGTACGATATGTTGAGGCCGAAGTTTAATGCCACCTGCTGCGAATAACATGCACATGCAATCAACCGTACACTGTCTCCTTTACATAGCATGCCACACTTTGCATGTCTGTGTCAAAATACTGCCAACACTCACAGTTATGCTCCTAGTATTTGGACGAGCTTCTTCAAACATAACCTATTACTGAATGTGAGTGAAGCACAGTCCCTGTTAGCCTGACACAAACACACTGTTACAGCAACCACCCTGACCATGTTCTGCTATAAGCTACTAGGTCAAGACTGTTGATCACCTTGTGTCTGTGTCCTCATAGATGTCACTTGCAGTCAGCATGTGATCCCTGCTCTTCGTGATAGTGAACAGACTCGGCGACAGTCTTGGAGTGTTCTGTGGCTGTGCTCCCTCATCACTGATATACTCCCCTACGCCCAGTTCAACCTCATTGTCCACCACTTCCTCTTTTATCTCTTGTTTCACACAGACTAACTCTGTGGGTTCCATCTTCATCTTGGCACTGCTGCCAGTGTTCTGCAAACCAAGAAAGAATCCACTTCACATCTCAGCATGTGTTGAAAATAAATGAACATAAGCTACAATTTATGACACTGAACTATGCTGTTGTGACCCCACGCATTATGGTGGGTACCGCCATTCTGGAGGAGCAACACTGTCACACCCAGAAGAAGGCCATGACTCTTCACCACTGTGAATACCTCAGCCCTTATACACTGGTACCCTGCTGGCACTTCTGACATTATTAAAGCAACGTAAAACGGTGCCACTTAAATACCAGTGACAAGCTAAATACCATGAAAGAATGTCAACATGCTATCCATGCACAATGCCACAAAGATGGAACACACCTCTTGCTGTGGCAACAGGTCTGCCAGATCCCCAAAGCTTTGCGACGAAGGGCAGATGTCAGTGGCCTCAACGTCAACTTCTGCATCTGAGCATTCTTCATTCTCATCGGCAAACAGACAGTCGGATAGTGTCTCACTTGGTTCCACATATGCTCGAGAGTACATGTTGTCAGTTGCCTGGAAAAATAAGCACACAGTTGAGTCTACATAGCGGATGTAAGACAAAATGATGGCTCACTTGAAGTGGGAGACATGGGACATGCAGACAAAAATGGAGACACATAAACTACATAAGAGCACTTTGAGCAGCAAACTTTATATTCCTTGTAGCGTATTGCCAAGTGTAGCTCACTGTATTGGTAAGGTGCTGTGCGGTATGCAAATTTTAATACCAAATTAAAACCGATAATCCAATCCTGCACAGTTGCAAGCCCCCAGTGAACACAGTAGGGTATTGAGATGGCTGGGACAGCCATTTAGAATGCAGGACGTGTAGGCAGACCCACTGGCAGGTGGCTGCATTCAGTTGAAGGTTTCAAGAAACTGGACATTAGAAATTGAAGACAAAAGTCAGAGGATATGGACCAATGGAGAGCAACTGTAGGTAGAAGAGGCCAAGGTTCATCATGGCCTGCAGCGCCCATAGAAGGAAGAGGGGAGAAGTTGCCAGTATCCACCGAAGACTGGGAGCTTTGAGAATCATGGAGTCCATCCTGAATGTAGTTCTCTGGTTTTGCATGCTGCTGTTCCAGACAAGTATGGCATCTACAGCCAACCATTTACTTTCATCTACTCATACTGACTTACTCAGTTTATTTAAAGCAGCGAGTACCTCAGACCTTACAGTATCAAATACTAATAAAATTAGTGAATTACTGGAAATGATGTAGACAGAAGCAGTTGCGGCTTTAGTTGAGCTACTATCCCAGTGGAATTTGTCTCAGGGAACTTAAGAAAACCATAAAACCACTGTCAGGATAGTCAGATCAGGCACCTCCCAACACAGTCCACAAGCAGACACTTGGGCCAACTTGCTTGCTACTCAGTTCTTGTGTTGGCCATTCTGAATAGCGTGAAGAGAAGAAATAACGAGCATTTTAGATATGAGCTTCACTCAGCACTTGGATCATTACGAATGTTTCAGAGGAGCCAGAAGACAGAAACAAGCATGGATATGAGGAGGGAGGACTGGGAACAACGTCCTCAGCAATCCAATAGGAATAAAAGGATCAATGTAAACAATACTGGCCTCTTAAGAGATCATTTTAAAATTAAGCTCTATGACTGGGCAAAATCATGACATAAAGATAGGAAACAGATGTTTTGAAAATGTGGCACAATTCAGATATTTGGGAACAATGATAACAGACCGAAACCTGATTCAGGAGGAAATTAATAGGCGATTGAACTCTGGTAACACTTGCTACCATTCCGTCCAGAACCTTCTGTCTTCTCGTCTGTTGTCCAAAAACACAAAAATTAGAATATACAAAACTATAATTTTGCCCGTGGTTCTGTATGGGGGTGAACCTTGGTCTCTGACATTAAGTGAGGAACATAGACTGATGGTGCCTGAGAACAGGGTACTGACGAGAATATTTGGACCGAAGAGAGATGCAGTGACAGGAGGTTGGAGAAAACTGCACAATGAGGAGCTTCATAACTTGTACTCTTCTCCAAGTATAATTAGAGTGATGAAGTCAAGGAGGATGAGGTGGGCAGGGCATGTAGCACAAATGGGGGAGACGAGGAATGCATATAGGATATTGGTGTGAAAGCCAGAAGGAAAGAGACCACTGGGAAGACCAAGGCGTAGGTGGGTGGACAATATTAAAATGGATCTTAGAGAGATAGGATGGGATGGTATTGATTGGATTGATTTGGCTGAGGACAGGTACCAGTGGAGGGCACTTGTGAACACGGTAATGAACCTTCGGGTTCCATAAAATGCTGGGAAATTCTTCAGTAGCTGCAGAATTGGAAGCTCCTCCAGAAGCGCTCAGCTCCATGAGTAAGTAAGTAAGTAAGTAAGCAAGCAAGTAATGACTGGGCAAGAACAGGCCTCCAAACTGTGGCTTCACCTTCAGGAAAGCCCAGTTGTTGTAGCTAGTGTCCACTGCAGACATGCGCCCACTGGAGCACGATGCACTGGTGTCCCGCTCTGACCCTGCGTTGTTCAGCTCCACACTGCTTGTGTCATCATTTGCTGACAAACTTGACTCATCTGGTGTGACCTGGAATAGGGAACCAATTCTGTGCCACACACTGTTCATATCACATACGACAGCGGAACTGGTGACTCAGGGCTACAAATTGCAACACAGATCAGCTAACCTAACTGGTTCTATGCCAGTGACTGGGATTCAGTTTGTTTTGTGATTGCAGTCAACTGTTCTGCAGGGACACTGTTTTGTCAAAAAAAGGACATTAATACAGATTTTCTCAGACTTTTCAGAATCATTGCTGGAACAAGCAAAGTGCTTAGGAATAAAATGGTGACTGGTGACTGCCAGATTCCAAGGCAGTTATTATCAAACGAAATGAGTGTATGAAGGGGAGGGAGCTGTACGTGCCAGCTCGTGCATGTCACTTTTCTGGGCGAAACATCGAAACTGCCTTCCCCCCTTCCAGACTGTTTCAGACAGCCCGAGTAGCGACGAAGGAGTTCTCGAAACTGTGACATGCACATAACAGCAGTGTTTGGGTTGCAGCAAGTGCTATGAATAGTGAGTCAGTGGACTGCACTGTCCTCGTCCCTTGTCGTCTGCACTTGACTGAGCTGCAACTAACACAGCACTCTGCTTCACATCTACCTGTACACATGCCCACGCTACAGTGCGACTGACAGACTCAGAGTTCACAGCACTCTGCTTCACATCTACCTGTACACATGCCCACGCTACAGTGCAACTGATACCCTCAGAGGCAGTGTCAGCAAAAATCTAGGAGGGGAGTTTTTAAGTTTTGAATGAAGGGGAGGTGTGGGCAGGACTCCCCATGCTCAGCTCCTGTGACTCTGTTGGATCTGAGGTTCTCGGAGCAATGACTTTGAAGAGTACAGACAGCCTTTTGGTTGTAATACCAAGGCCACTGTTTCAGAGGATCATATCACCTCCATCTTCATGGTGAGAGTAAACCAAATGAGAAACCAGCAGAAGCAGGCAGAAAAGCTGAGCCCTGCTAGCTTCTTACTTGGCATCCACTTCATCACTGAAGATGAAGTTGGCGTTTTCTTCTGAAACATTGTGCCCTTTCAAAACTACATGCCATTACAACCAAGCAACAAATTCTACTGAGCACATTTCTTCTTGAGAAGTTAACATTTAGACAGGTACTCAAAAAATCCCCCACCTTTCATGGAACAGCCTGCCACTGGACAGTCTATATCATCCCACCAGACTTTTAAGATCCATTTCAATATTATTCTCCCATCTGCGTCTGGATGTTCAACATGGTCTCTTCCCTTTGGTTCTTTCAACTAAACTTCTGCACACATTTAGCATCTCTCATATGCATGCTAGACGTCCCACCAATCCCACCCTGCTTACTTATGACAGTTGCCACTGACTTACAATATGAGAGACATGAGCCGTATATGGGGACAACTCCTGAGAGGAGGTTCCTGGTGCTGGCTCCAGCACTGCATGGGTTGAGTCTCGACCCTTCAGCGGCGATGACACACTAAAATTCTTCCTTTTCCACCTTTTCTCAACACTCAACTGCACATCTGCAAGCCATAACAACAGCGATCCAACTTTAAACCAGTGCTCATTTAGACTGCAGCTTGAATTAACTGCATAAGTAAGTGAGCTAGACATCTGGGTTTGTGTGGCAAGGACAAAGAAGAAACTTGACACAAAAACCAGTGAATACATTGAATAAGAAGCAGGACAACAAAGAGTAATACAGAATGCATGCCTATATGGGGTCAAACAGCAGGATGAGAGGTGAAAGGTGAACTGGAAAAGATTTGGAATCAAGTGGCAGGAGCCTAAATCAGTGACAAATTTGCCCTGCTACATTTCTGGCTCCAAAGAAATACATACAGAATTTAAACATAATACACCAGAAGATAAATTAATACACAACAGAATAAGAAGGCATGGACAGTCCGACAGACGCTTCTGAATGTGAAACAGGAAGGAAAATGCCAACAAGATGACCACGATCAAGGTCGGAATGAGTCAAGAAAGCTGTCACACAAAAGAGAGAACACGGCAGGTAGTTGAGGGGGGGCTGTGGGAAGACGGGCAGGTGGAGAGGCTTCCACTCATAAAGCAGAAATGTCTAAGGAAGATTCTTTTATGGTGACTCTCTCAGAAGCTCTGACTACACAGCACTGCAGGGGAGGATGACTGCTGCAGAATGAACAGAACAGGATGTGGAAGGAAGCAGTTGTGGCCTAGCTTGCAGCAGCGTCCCAGTATCTGCCTGGACAGACCGAAAAACCATAAAAATGCCAGTAAGGATAGCCAGTCTCTGGGCAGTGACATAGAGACAACTCACGCCGCTGCATCAGAAGTTCCGGTTCCAAGTTCGCTGCCAGCTTCCACCAGCCAGATTCTCCAAGCTCTGCTGAGCCAGAAAGGAAGTAAGTGGGACTGTAGTGGGACAGGGTCCCTGACACCGTCCCCTTCCAACTGCGCTTCTTCTTTCTGCAACACAGAATGGTGGAGCTGCAGCAAGTGCTGTAGGCATGCCAGCCCATCAACCTCCTCCTCCCCTCATATGATACTGGGTAACCTCCAGTCAACACACCACCACCAAGTGGAGCACACTGAGTTTGCAGTGTCTATGGAGTGAATAAGAACACAGACAGGACACCAAGTGTGACAAGTGGAAAGCCTAGTTTACAATCCACACATGGTTATAAAATTCTGAAAGCCACTCACCACAACCAACCACCCATCACTGTCCTAGTAACACTAAAACCAGCCAATGTGAATTAGTCCCACCCATACAATCAGGGATTCGTAAAACCTCACAAGAAGGTATGTGAGATGTATTTCATACACTGTCAAACACAGGTCAAAAGGGCTTGTCCTGATTAGGTTCATCTGCATAATTTTCTGTCCTGGGAATAAATTAAAACCTCTGTTTACAATAGCAGGGAGTGTGCCTGTAGGTTCATAACCTGCAGAAAAATACAAGGAACTTAAGTCACATAACTTAGTGCCTCTCACCAGTTTCTGCAGAGTGGATGACACGTTTCACATGTTCAAAGCGTACATCGCACACACTGGTTACAGAATAAAAGTTCTGCGAGATACTGAAATTCAATAAAAATCGTCAGGGGCCGTTTCCAAGAAATTTGTCATTTTGTTTTCTTAGGGCTCTCATCTGAAGGAGCTAGAATATTCAGATTCACTGGGTGTGGATCTATGATGGATTAAATCTTAACTACTGAATACAAATAAAATCTGTTCAACTACTCAGGTGTCAGCAAGGCATATACAGGGTGTCCCAGGAGGAATGTGCCAAACTTCGGGAGGGTGTTCCTTATGTTAAAGTATGCCGATATAACCCAAAACACCTATGTCCAAAGTTGAACGGTTACGGAGATAATGGCCCGAGAAAAGTGTGGTCTT